ATAGAGCTGACCAACATTTGATTAAACATTTTGATAAACCTGCTATGTGCCTCTGCTTGAATGTGCACGTTCATGTGTCCCTGCAAAGCATTTCGAAAGAGGTTCTGGGGATGACCATGAAAAGTGACTGAGATGATTTCAAAAGCAGAGGTAGCACCAGTTTTCCCCGTGTCTTTTAAATTTGTATGAAAAGAGCTCACTCAAGCTACATAGGAAGGTGGTGTAGAAATAGGAAGCTTTACTGGGTGCCTATGATACTTGGGTATATCTCCTGGGCACTACACCAAGACTTGAATCTCATTTTAATGCCAACAGTCTTAAAAGAAGATAGGGACAAAATTTCTGTTTTATAGATGTGGCTAATGAAGCTCTGAGATATGAAGTAACTTTCAAGATACTCACATACGGTAACAGATTCTAGCATTTACTACTAACTGATGCTATGTATTTTATATATTTGCTTATCACCTGTTCATCATTTTTCTTCTCCCTCTGAAATAGAAGTTCCATGAGAGCAGGAACCTTTTCTATCTTGTTCACTACTGTATCCCCAGCAACAGTTCATGGGACATAGTAGGCACTCTATAAATATTTATTGAATGAATGAAAAACTACAGAGTCCAGACCTGACTCCAAGTCCAGGCTTCTCTGAACAATGCTTGCAGGTCCTATCTAGAAATGAGGACAAATATACAGGTTGCTGATCCTATAATCTAGATTCATGATAAAAGGCAGACCCCACCAAAGACCAATCAGAGAAAACAGAATGAGAACCAACTAAAAGCTGAAAAATGACCTGCTTTTAGAATGGATGGAAGAAAATGTCTGAGGTAAACCTTCAGCATTCACTTCTCCCTCTACTTCTAGCATCGGGTTCCAGATGCCTGTTAAATATGGGCCTACTTCTGACATCCACATGTCTGAGTCCATCTAGTCCAGGGCCAATGGAGTCCAGGCAAACTTGGCCTGTAGCCAAGGTCCCTAGAGTGGCCAAAAGAAATCTCATATCCTTTCTTTGCACACCTCACATGTTGACTATAGTCCCAGACATATTCCTATTTTAGCAAGGTCCAGCATCTTACTGATGCTGCAATAAGAAGAGAATGGGAAAAAAAAACCTGTGCATGTTTTACTGTGAATCAACAGAAATTCTTGGGAAAGTTCCCCAGGCAATGTCCTCATAAGATCTTGGACACACCCTCCCAGCCTTTCCTGCCCAGCCAGAGGGTCTGAACATGCATACTGGAAAGAGGAGGTCCCTGAGGTACAAGAACTCATGGAGCCAGCCTTGTCCAGAAATCAACTCAGGACACACTTCAAGCATACAGGCATGAGTCTGCATGCCTGTTTTCAAATAGGCCTTGGGAATTGCAGCCACCATCATAGAAGGGTCACATATGATTGTAACTACAACTGTGTTTGCTGACCCACCGGCTAGCAGGTGTGTGCCCAGCAGCTCTGGACTCAAAAGACCAGGTTCCCAGCTGCATTCTGACTGTGCTAGGGCAAATGTGTTAACTGGGAAGACAAGAAGTCCAGGGAGCTCCCTTTCCACCTGGCCAAGCTCAAAAGTGCCGTAAGTATGAGGAAGAATGATGGAAGGGCCTAGGTGACATGAAGTCTTTTCATCCCTGCTCAAGTCTCACCTTGGAGATGGTTCCTTCCTTTCTACTCTTTGCTTCTCAGTTAACACAATCCCAGTAGACAACTTTACATGACTGAATAGAAACCAAGCTAAATCTTAAGGAAACAGTGTGAGCGAGAAAGCATTTACCTCAAAAACACGGTGCTCCTATGATGACTGCTGTGCTGGCTCTCAGGCATTGGGTCTGGATATGACCCTGGTTAAGGAAACCAGAATCCTCCCACCTCAAGGCCCCAAGGTCAGACTTTCAGTCAGGTGGGAAATACATGGACACCTACAAGGCTAGGGCCACCAACTGACTGATGTATTTTTTTTTTTTTGAGACAATGTCTTGCTATGTGGTTCAACTCACTATGTAGTCCAGGTTAGCCTCAAATTCATGGCAATCCTCTTGCCTCATCCTCCTGAGCACTGAGATTACAGACATGTGCCACCATACCCCTCATGATACATTCTTGAGCTTACTCATTCTACAATAATTTACCATTTATTGAGTGTTTACCAGGTGGAACGCTCAGTATTAGAAGTTAGAGGGACAGTCTTAAATAAGGCCCTCACCATTTACAGCCAAGTAGAAAAAAACCCATAGATAGGTAACTACAACTGTAGTAAGTGTTACTGAGAGGCACAGGCTGCTATGAAAGAGGGAAGGGAAACACAGCCTGACCTGGAGAAGACTGACCTGAGGAACCCACATTCCAGCTGACTTCCACACAATAAGTAGCTACCCTAGGAATAGCAGGGAGGTGATGGTAAGAACCCAAGAAGGATAAGAGCACAATATTCTCCTCCTCAAGGATGGGACCAGTGTGACTGGCCCAGACACATGGGGGTGCAATATGAAGTGAGGCTAGAAAAGTCTGGATCTCCAGAGCCTTGCAGCTGTCTGCAGAGCTGTCTCTGCTCTCAGAAGCGGAGGACCCCAAACACATGAGGCCTTCTAGACAGACAAGATTTAGTTCACATTCTTGGTGAAGTCTTTCTAAGGAAAATTTGGAGGGTGGTGTGAATCTAAGATACATAAAAGATGTTTTCTTAAAATCTATTTTCACACCTCCCAGTGAAGTGTTAAGATGAAATATATATAGGTAGATACAAGTTACTTTGAGGATTTTCCAGATGCTGTCCCCCAATTACATGCAACATTGTTAGCCAAACTCTTTGCTCAATAGAAATGTTCAAACCTCAGAAAAAAGGGTTTTCTGAGTAATACTTTTAGGCTTGGTAAAAGCCAAGTCTGAAAACCATTGAACAAAAATGATTTTATACTGAGGCGCCTGAGCTACAGAATATAAGAGGGTTCCTAAATGATACAGTAAGCATTCATTCAAATCACCCCAGTTTCATGTAGCGCTCAGGAAGTGACTGAGATAAAACATGGAAGAAAAAAGTAAAAAGGAAGAGAAAGAAGTTGTCTTCCCTCGAAAACAAATTGAGAGAATAGAATTCAGGGCTGAGTTCTGCCTCCATCATCTTCCAGCTTTATGACTCGGGACAAGTTTCCTAAGCTCTCAGAACCTGACATCCTTAATCTCTAAAATGAAGCCAATACTACTGACTTCTGTTGTGGTTTGTGTCTAGATGTCGCCCCAAAGCCTCATGCTTTCTTTTGTAAAGATGGCTGAATCTGGATCGTGTGGTGCTGGGATTAAGGGTGTGTGATTACTAAACCGCTACACATGAGTGATTGGTTTGGCACTGCCCTAATCCTGGCAGTCTGAATGGAATAAAAGGGGCTGTTAAGGTCCCTTGTTGCTTTTGCTACTTTGTGTGCACCATGTTGTTTCTCTTTTGTGATACATGTTTGACAGCCCTGTCTTGGAGCCAGCCAATTATGGACTAAAACCTGTACAAATTGTGAGCTAAATAAACCTTTCCCGCCTTGACTTCAGGTGTCAGATACTTTATCTCAGCAACGAGAAAAGTAACTAACACTTCATAGGCTCCTGAGAGCATTACAGGTGGTAACAGTTATGAAAGTGCTTGGTTTTACAGATAGAAGGCCATACTGTTCTATGCAACAGGACACTTAGTGTCTAGAGAGAAAGAAAGGGTCAGCTCAAACCTATGGATGAATGAAGCAGAAGCATCACCTGGTTCTGTGCTCCCTTGGGAAGGAAAGGGAGCAGGGAGAGAAGCTGACTTTCCAAGCATCACCACTACCATAGACTCCAGATCAAGATGCTAGTACAGATGATCAATTTGCAAAAGCCTCTCACAGACTAAGGACCAACTGCTAACACCACAGGCACTATGTGCTAACACTCCCCTTCAACCCTTCTAGAGAAGAGTGGGTATCTTTTCCAAGGTCCTTTATCTATTTCTGGAAAAGGTGAGCTCTGCGCTCATCTGGTACCCCCAGCATGGGACAGTCAAGTGACAAGTGTAGCAGGGGCAGGAGTTCCTACCCAGCTGGAAGTGCACCACACTACCTCATACTCTAGTCTCAGAGGGCCATGCCCTGGCGCTACTGGAATTAAAGGTCACTTGCAGCAGTGCTCTCTGAGACTTATGTTTCAACTGCCAGCAAAGTGAATCTTCAATCTGTCACATTCACACCATCCTTGGGGGGCCCAAGAAACACTTGCAGTTCAAGAATCTGGGGAGGCCACCAATAGAGAAAGCAAGGCCTTGGAACTCCCCAAGTTTAGGCCTAACTACATTCCTATGGCCTGCACATAGGTGCCAGAGAGTATCGAAGGACCCATAGCCTTTGAATGCCCATGGCCCCACTCCCTCCAAAGAGCACAGCAACAAAGTAGAAAAGGGGCTCCACTGCCTGGGGAACTTCAATAGTCCAGAAAATAAAGTAATTTCATCCTAATTACTTTTCAACAAGATAAACAAAGTAGACAAACCTGACCAATTCTTCAACATGCAGACCCTCACTTTTCAACATGAGTTTTCATAATATAATATAATTGACAAATATGCTGCGGGATCATTAACTGTACCACCTGGACACTAGTTAGGCTGGCTGACCATGAAAAGCATGACAAGGGCTGCGTTAGACATGCAATTCCAAGATGAGTAGTCATAGGGAAAAAGTCTAAAAACTTCAATGAGACAAGGTGACTTGAAAGCTCAGCTTTACACAGAAGTACAAGTGACATATTATTCTTTTTCTTTTTTTTTTTTCTTTCTGGTACCAGGGATTGAACTCAGGACCTTGCATTTGCCAGGCAGGCGTGATGCCACTGAGCTAATTCCCTTGCATAGTATTCTTGTCTAAATAATTTATACCTTAATTAACCTGAGCCTGAAATTCTCTAGCTTCTGAACTTCCTTCCCCTCACCACAAAAGCAACAAGCATGGTTGTTAGGATGGAACTGCTGCATTAGAGAAGGGCAGTACCTTAAAAGAGTACTTGCGACTTATGCGATCCTCAGGGGCCACAGGTGAGATCACATAGCTGGGCAGAGGGATGCTTCCCAGGACCACTTCTTCTCGGCTGTCTTTGAATGGAAAAACATATCAGAAAAACCTTCAAGGCACCTTCCCTGGGCATCCTACTCAGGGCTCCCTCTGTCACCTGAGGACTACAGCCATCCCCTTTTCCCAGGTCATATAGGTGCTCCCTGTACATGGATGTACTAACAAATGCTGGAACACACAGGTGAACTGGACATGGTGCTCTCCTTGAGAGCATGTGAATGGAGAGAGATATATGAAAACACTCAACACAACTTGCTAACTCCTGAGAAAGGGTAGTGTGCGCCAAGTGTGCGGGGCACATGGTCTGGGGAAGTCAAGGTTTCAGAAGGTGTTTCTTGTGTTTTCACGCATGGGAGAGTATTCTAGGTAAAGAGAAGCTCAGAGACAAAGCTACAAGCACATGTGAATAATCTTTCTACTTCTATTCTCCCCTTCCTTTAAATCTCCTCCATACCCAGTGGTCTCTTACTTCCTAGTGATAGGGTTGGTCTTGTTGCTTTCCAACTGAAAGGCACTTGCTAATTCCCCACTGGACACAAAACAAAGCCCAAATTACCCCTATCTGTGACAACCTTTTGGTCTTAGCTTACCCATCTCCTGAGCTTTATCTCAGGAAACTTTATCTTAGCATATGCTTCATATAAGATTCACTTGGCCATGAAGGTCTGTCTTTCTACCTTCTTCTGCATCTAGGACTTTCCTCAAGTTGTGTTTTTCTTTGTAATGCCCATTTCCTCCAACACAGGCAAACCTCCACCCATCCTTAAAAGTCCAACTCAAACCCTAGCTCTTGTACGAAGACTTCTTAGATTCTCCAGTAAAGAATTTACTCCTCAGTCTCCCTAATGGAATGGCCTAAGGACTTTGGATGTCTTGGAAGAGACCCCAATAGGCAAAATGGATTCCACTCACTTGAACTCAGTAACTTTGCCTTACCATGTCAAGATTGGTAAAACTGGAGTTACCAACAATCCACATAGACAAAAGTAAACAGTAATGGACTCCTAATTAACTCAGACAATTGGTCTAAATACTCAATTTAAGAAATCATTATTTGCATCCCCTCACCACCCTCTTGCACAGAGCCCTTGGTGGCTTGAGCCTCAAGCTCACCTTTATAGTAAAACAAGCAGTAATCAGCAAGCACAAACCACCTCCTCTTCCACAGTCTCATCCCAGAACTATCCTGCAAAACAAAGCAAAGCAGTCAGGGGATATCTGAACATCCTGTTCCCCTCCAGTCATATACAACCTGAATCTGGAAGCAAGGCTTGCCTATATTCATAGTTTCTGTTAATAAATTAATGAATGTTTTGTTGAATAGCTATTCTTTGGATAGGACATTAAATTTAGACTCAATGACAGTTTATCACAGGAAGTTAAAGGAGGTATTTTTTTTGGTCTTCTGGAAACAAATTTTTATAATCCACTTTCTTATAAACGTTTTTGGTACCAGGGATCGAACTCGGGACCTTGCACTTTCCAAGAAGGCAGCAGAACCATTGAGCTAAATCCCCAGGTCTACCTTCTTCTGGTAATCAAAAACAGACATCTCTTACTAATGGAGGAATCAGCTCTTTAAATAAAGTTCTGTTTTGTTTTAGGTAGTATGCTATAAAATATCTTTATGTTGATTATAAAATTGAATTTACATAATATTGAATACAATGTAAGCCAGCTAATTAACTGAAGGAAAGCTCTCATTTAACTAGGCTCAGTTCTCTCCCATAAGAGACTGATTTTGTTGTTGTTTTCCTTCCATTCAAGGAAAAGAGATTTCAATTCACTCTGCTATCAAATTTCCTCATAATGAACCAGTCTTTATTCATCTAAAATGTAAGTCTTTACATTTTTAAAGAGCATTTTAAATAATCATGAAAATTAAAAAACATGGCCAAGGTAGAAAAACAGCAGTGTTATAGAGTCATTCTTCTCCAAAACCTAGGAAAACTTCAGAGATGCTTTTAGCTTAGAAATAACTGTTAAAATCTCTTGCTTATGCAGAAGTTTTTGATAGGCTTGAATTAAGACAAAACAACTTTGATAATTTCTAAATCTAAACACAAGAGGTTTGTTCACTCTCCATTCACTAAACTGCTAAAAACAAATTTAACTTGATGATGATATCCATTTATCACTTTTTTTTTTTTGGTACCAGGGATCGAACTCAGGTCTTGCGCTTGCGAGGCAGGCAGCAGAACCACTGAGCTAAATCCCTGGCCCAATTTATCACTTTTATCTTCTGTAAATCAACCAGATGACTTCTAAGGTCTTGGCCAATATTATCTGCTCCCTTTCTTAATGGCAGCCTGCTTACCCATTCCTCCTCCACACTGATTCACGTCACTTCCCCCGAGAAACCCTTCTGGACTCCCCAGGCTCAGCTACGCTCTCTGGGTGTCTGTAGTGCTCAACACAGACCTATTGTGGCTACAGGAGAGCCAATAACTTGGCAAGGGGGTTGGCGGCAGGAAGAGTTGTTTATGATCTCTTCACTCACCTGCAATACTTCCAAGGAGCATCCTTTGTTTAAAGGAGGCAGGAATGTACTTGGAAAAAAATCAGAGGGCTAAATTATTCAACTAAGAAAAGAGCAGAGCTGTGAGTGGAGAGGAAAGGAGTTAGAGAATGTGGGGCCCAAGGTAGGTCTGACACAAGAGGCTGAATGCTGTGGGAGCTGTCTCAGGGAAAGGAACTGGGGAAGGAGACGTCATGGGGGCTTTAGGGGATTCCTCCTGTGTGGTGTGCAACATAATGGCTTTCCTGAAGTGAACATCGTTGGAGTTTTTTTGTTTTTGTTTTTTGGGTTTTTTTGGTACCAGGGTTCAAACTCGGGACTTAGTGCTTGTGAGGCAGGCCCAAGTCCCCAGCCTGAGGTAAATCCCAGGCGCTCTTGGAGTTTGATGGCCTTAGGGGATGCTACCATATGCTAGGTGACAGACTGGGCTGAGTGATGATATGACATGAGATATGTGCTGCTTTCCCTGGTAAACAATGAGGTCCTTGAGGGCAGGAATGTACCCTGTATCCCCACTGGGAGAGCACAGAACATGACAGGCACCTGGGGAGCAATGAATGAATGAATGGTAAAAAGAGAAGGAAGGGAACAAAAAAGACATAGTCACTGGCCCTGGGAACTCAGAGTCCACCATGGCCAAAGCACCAAAGGCAGATGAACTAGGGGTGGGCATGGACATGAAGGATGTGTTCAGGGGAGACAGAGGAGCAGGCAGTGTGCTGAGATCTCTAACCTGCATCCCTGGAAGAGTGGCAATGATACCACATTGCTAAGATCTAGAAAAAGCAGGCTGGGAAAAGACAGAAGTAAGGGATCAGGAGACAATGAGCTGAGTCTGGCTGATCTGGAATTTGAGGTGCACAGGAGCTAAAAACGTATGGCAGACAAGGAGGAGAGGAAAAGATGGGACTCTTCAGCCAAACAGTAACAAAGACTTTAACATCAGAAAGACAGATGCTAAGACAGGACTGGCAGGAAGGCTGGATTGAGGCTGACCCAGCCAGGGTCTGGGCTCTAGAGCAACCACTGCCAGCAGAAACCAAAGTGCTCAGGTGGGTTTGGGGAGAGAAGCTGTAACCCTTGGAGAAAGAAGCTGTAATTCACTTAGCACACTGGTCAGAATGCACCTGCCCCAGACAAACTCAGGAACAAAAAGCTTCTGTGCTTGTCCCCAGTGACCGGAGGCCAGGGAACACAAAAGCATCCAGTAGGAGCAACCTCCAGCTCTCTCCCCTCAGCCTCCTCACCTGCTTGTGCAGCCAGCCCCTCACCACCACCGGAACATTGGGGTTCCTCCGAATGGCTTGATCCCTCTTCCCAAAGCTATGGACTTTATTGCTGGACTTGATGATCTAGGAAAAAGCAGACTGAAATTCTAGCAGCTGGGGGTGTAGGGAGGCACAAAAAACACTTGTCTATCAGGAGGGCTGTCGGTTCTCTCTGCCTTACTCTAAGTGGCAGAACCCTTTGATCAGGGCAGCACAAGAGATGGAACAGGCAAGCACATGACCACAGCATTTAATTAAAAAGCTGGCCCAAGACCTGGCAAGCCTCCCAGATGGGTCACAGAAAAATTTAAAGGGATTTTTCAATCAACTTTCACCAACAGCTGTTGGCTCTAATATGTCCTGTGGCTTTCTGGAGCAAAGCTACTTTTTTTTTTTCTTAAATTCTTTTATTGGTACATTTTAGGTATACAACACATTTACACTTATCTTTGGGTGCTTGTACCTTTACATGATGTATCTTGGTTCTCATTTTGTCCCCATTACTTGTGAGCCCTTCACTCCTAAACCGTTCCCTATTTACATACTTCGTTTCCAATTTTTTTTTCTTTTCTCATAATTTTTCCTTTCCATTCTTTCCTTTCCTCTTCGCCTCCCACCACCCCTACCCCTTTGGACCTTTTCCTATTTCAAAGTATCGATTATTAGTTATTAATCCTTTTAGTCCTTATTTACACTCTCAGTTTCTCACACTAGAGAAACTATTTGGTATTTACACATGTGTCTTATTTATTTCACTTAA